AGATCACCCAGCAGAGGAGGCTGCTGTCCATGGCAGGGTTGGGCAGGCTGAGGCTCAGCAGTCCCAGGAGGAATTTCAGTGACATCTCAGCCTGTGCTGCACCCACTTACTCAAGGATGCCCCAGAAGAGCAGATGCCCCAAGGCAGCGCCTGAGCATCCTGAAGTGTGTGGCTGGGGTTAAATAGCATGGCTGAAGTCAAGCGTGGTGGCACATGCCTGTAATCTGGAAGCCGAGGCAGGAGGATTGTGAGTTCAAAGCCAGACTGAGCAAAACTGAGGTGTTAAGCAACTCAGTGAGACCCTGTCTCTAAAATGAAAATAAAATAAATTTGAAAAACAAAGAGACTCAGATGTGGCAATCCTGAGTGTAGAAAGCAGAACATCTGGAAGGACAGGACCTTGCCCTCTGGTTCTGTGTAGGGTATGATTGAGGTGGCCCAGCCTGAATTTTGTCTGAATTTTTATTTTATTTATTTTGTTTATTTACAGGACCCCTGTGAACTCTTAAGTCAAATGAACCACTTTATGGCAGGCTTCTTTTATCTCATGTTAGAAAATGCATTAAACACTAGACTTAAAAGTGTTCATCTTTGCATAAGTTGATAGAGCCTCAGGAGTGCAAGAAACCTCCCTGCTACAGATGCTGTAGAATATAGAGCTGCCAAATTGGTGGAATTGACAGGGGCTTTTATGGTTTGCAGTTTCTGTCTGGGGTCCCACAGGAAATATTCAAAGCCTTCAGCTGCCCCCACAGCTTCTAGTCTATCCCCACAGGTTTGGGTACAGTGACAGGGTGACTCTGCAGGGCTGTTTCTCAGCTACTGGCACTCATGGCTGAGTCCTTGGGCTCCAGGGAGGCCAGGGGAATGAATAAGCAAGAGCTGTCAGGCACTCAGGTGACAAGTACCTGGGCACAGTCTAGTTTCAACCAGTTCCTTATAATCATGGGGAAATCTAAGCTCAGGATTTTCTTATCATCTTCTTGTAAAAATTCTTGGCATTATATCCCAGAGGTGTTCACATTCCAGGGACTTCTATGCATTGCTCCCATGTAGAGGAGTCTTGGTATCTGGCTAATGCTGGTATCCAAGGGGGAAAAGACAAAATTCAGCCTGAGCCCAGGAGGAAGGTTCTTACTCTAGCCCCAAGGAATAAGCTTGGAGTCCATGGACAGACCCTTGGAACCCAGAACTCACAATTTACGGTACAGAGAATTGAAAAGGAGCCCAAGAATATGTATAAGGAAATCTCTTTTTTTTTCTGGTGCCATTCATATATTGTGTATTCAGAGAACAAGACCCCAGAAGGCTAGGCAAAGAACAAGTTCTGGAAGGTTGGAGAGCTGAGCAGAGATTTCAGGAGACATATAAACTGAACAACCTTGGCACAGGACTGAATTGCACTGGACTCCAAAAAGACCATGCTTGAGAAATAAGGACCCCAAGCTAGGGCTGTCCAATGGGAGGGCAAATCTGAAAACTTTACAGTCAATCTACTAGAATAAAACTGAATGATGTTTAGGAGAATATAACATAACCCAGAGTCCCTATCATCCATCTTCCACAGTGCCTCATATAACATGTATTATAATCTTTCACGTAGAATATTTGAGAAGTTTCCTAGATGTTCAGTCCCCCTAAAATCTATCAGCCATCTATTCCACACTGCTGCCCCTGTTCTTCACCCAAATGCAAATCTGATCATGCCTTCTCCTGTCAGATGGGACCAATGGTAACTGCTGCCAAGAGATTTGTGCCCCAGTCCTTCCCAAGTTCCCAGGATCCTCCATCATCTGGTTGCTTAATGGGAATAGGATCCTACGACACATTTTCTGAAAGGGCTGCAGTGTCCAAAGCACAAGCAGCTTGGATTCACTTCTCTGCCACCCTTTCTAGTTCACCTATTGCCAAGGTTGGACATGTTCCTCCCTACCCCACAAAATATAAATATATATTTAAACATATGAAACATATATTATATATTCATCTATTTATTTATTATGTATCATATTATATATTTATATATAAATATTTACATATATATGGGTTTTTTGGTTTGTTTGTTTTTTTTTTCTAAATGAGGAACTCTTTGAATTTCTGTTGATCATGGGAGGATTCACCCTGGCCTCTCTTCAGGCTTGTGCTCATCAAATATTTTTAAAACTTGTGTCTCCATGGACAACATAATGGACAAGATGTGGCCATAGGTATAGCAGATAAGGACAAGGAATAGCTGCTCCATCACTTAAGGTCTTTAGTCCCCCATCTTTGGTGGATTTGGATGGGCGGGTGACGATAGTGGAGTCCCTGCTCACTGACCAGAGGGATTCTGCAGGGCTCTGTGTGTGGAGAACTCAGCTGCCCACCATTCACCCTGGAGGCTGCTGCACACTGACACTCCACGGGGCCCATAGGAATGGAGAGCAGAGCCTCAGGCACAGGGAACTCATTGTCACCACAGCTTCCTGGCTGCCTGGCAGGTTTGTGCACAGGCAGCTGGTGACTCTGCAGGGCTGTGTCTTGGCTGCTGGCACAGAGATACAAGGCAGAATCCTCTGGCTCCAGGGACTTGACATGAAGGTTTAAATGAGCGTTGTCTGGAGATTCAGGTGAGAATCGACCTGGAACCGTTTCATTTGCAATCATTAACTTATTATTGTAGGTAAACATCATCTTCAGTGATTGCTTGGAGTCCTGCTTATACCAGTACATAGTATTGTGATCCAGATTTTGCTCACATTTAAAGGACTGCTTCTTTCCTGTTTGTGCAAGGAGATATTTTGGAGTCTGGGAAACACCTGAGTGCAAGGGGCCTGTGAAAGAAAGAAGCAGAATTCAGGAGAATCCCAGGAGAAAGCTGCAGCTCCAGGCATAGAGAAGACTCAAGCAGAGTTTCTGACAGGGCCACACCACTTGGGCTGAGAAACTCACCTGCTCCCAGGAGGCAGAGGGCCACACAGCAGAGCAGCCTGGAGCCCATGGTAGGAGGCAGGCCAGGCCAGGCCGCGGCTCAGGATTCCAGCCTATAGACTCAGAGCAGCTGCACCCCCAAGGCTCTGCCACAAGTTCTGCGGGTGACATCACAGCTGTGCTATTCTTCCTTTTCTCGGGGTTTGTGATCACAGTTTCCTCCTTATTCATGTCCTGATCCAGCTCCGTTCGTTCGCCAGTGTATTTGGGATTTCTAGAGTAGGTGTGAGTGGGGTGGGTGTGCAGCCTCCAGTAGACTCTGCCCCCACCCCTTCCCTGGCCCAGAAGTTGCCCGTGTTCCTTTCCTCTCCTCTTTAGGCCTCCTCTCAGAGCAAGTCTGGTTTTCCTTCCTGGGTCTTTTCTTCCTTCTCACACTAATGCTGCGTGATCCCACTTACTCCTTGGCTCCCTTGAATATCTTTTATGCCCAGTGGCCCCCTGACCACTTCAGGCTTGAGCAGGAGATTGACTTCAGTTCTCACCAAACACCAGCTGCAGCCATTTAAGATGCAGGAATGTGGTGACTGTCTGGTGAACACTCTTAGGTGACCTTGATGGGACTAAGCTGCAGGCCTGGTCCCTGCGATGTTCTCATGAGAGGCAGGGCTTTCCAATGCTCTGGTCTGAGGAGGCTTCTAGAGATCAAGAAGTCACTATGTGTTGGGAACAAAGTTATGGGGACATGGACAGCATGGAAATTGGGGAAATCTACAAGGAACAATTTCTCTATCCTTGAATTGTCTACAGATCCCCCTCCTTTTGGATACATAGTATCCACTCAGAGCCTGGCCCAGCCTTGGTCAACCTCAGCGTTATTTACACATTGCATTGGATGATCCTTAGTTGAGAGGCAGTCCTGTGCCCTGCAGTGTGTTCAGTAGCATCACCGGCCTATGCCCACCTGATGCCAATAGTATCCCCTACCATACTCATGAAAACCAAAATGTCTTCCACAATATCAAATCTCCATGTTTAAGAGCCACCTTTCCTATCCCTTCCAATAGCTCCCACCTTTATCATCCTATGTGGCTCTGCCTCCAGCCTCAGTACTTGCTAGTGATGGATAAGTCCAGTTTTAACATTTCGTAACCTCTGTCTGTGGACACCATCAAAAAGGCATCTGATTCTCTCTCTCTCTCTCTCTCTCTCTCTCACACACACACACACACACACACACACACACACACACACATGCTTACTTATATTCTGGTAAAACTACCAAATACAGGTGAAAGCCCCAGATGGTTCAGTTGTGTTTGCTGGGCACAGACACAGCACCAGGGATTTTCCCCTTTTGGAAATTTTCAGCATATTTCATTTGTACAAGTCATGGGGAAGACAATGTTTTCATTCTTGGGATGTTTATACTATAACAGGAGCAAAAAGGAATGCACAGATTACCTGTGGGATAAGGATATAAAGTTTATGTTACATGAAAGTCAGAAATATAACCCAGTATTTACATTTAAATATTTTATACTGTATTCCTTCTTCTCATCTATAAAGCAGTGGTCCCAAATCAATAATTTTCAACACTCTGTCCAGCTCCAAAACTATGGACATTACCAGGTGCACACGTAGGTACAGGCTTATTCATCCAGCGTCCCCAGCACCTACCATCATGCACCACACAGAGTACACGTGAAGACTTTCCCAAAAGGAGAGAAGGGAAGCAGGAAGGACTGAGAGAGGAAGAAAGGAAGGAAAGGAGTGAGAGAAGAGATCACTTTATTGACAAGAATCAATATAAGATGGAGCTTATAGCCATATAAAGAAGCAACCATTCTTAAAGTGTAGGTTTCAAATAATTACTTATCTTGCTATTTTATGCAAATGTTCATGACCAAATCGGGTGGACAGTCTCTAAAATAAAACTGGTATTAAGAAACTCATTGCACATGAGGTAATGCCAGTTCTGATTATTGTTTTAAATAATTTAAAAGTATATAATACTAGAAATTAATGTCTAATTAAAAATTAAAGAACATAATTTTTATTATCTATCAAGAACAGCCCATAGTATGCAAGAAAGCAAATAAATGATTCCTTGCACCTTCTTTTCTGATTGGGATGGCTGAACTGGAGAAGGGGATTCCTGTACAGAACAGGAGTCAGGACCACTGATGTAGGGACCCCTGACAAGAGCCATACCTCAATTGACAAAGCAAACAAGGAAAGAAACATGAAATAATTTAGCATGGACAAAGTTTAGTCTTCCAAAAGGTGGAGAGCTTAGGACCAGTGGGAATGAGGCAGAAAGCAAGAGAACTAGAACTAATGAGAAGTGGACTGAATGTCACACAGAGGCACATTGTCATGATTCTGACTTTCCAACATTTAAAAACCCTTCTTATAATTTGGTCATTTGCCAAAGTTTGAGAACAGCATGTGCTGTTATGTTTATATGCAAAAACTTCCATTCTTGAAACAACACCTGTTTGAACAGTTCTCTTTGAGATCACATATGACTATCCATCAGAGGTAGAAGAGTAAAGACTTTTCTAGTTTAATTCCCTGATGGTCTGGAAGGAGGGGGGAGGTTATATGTATCCTTAGGCCTGATGAATAGATTTCCTCTGGTTATTATTATCTCTGCAGACTCCCTAAGAACCTTAGACTGTCAAGATCATTGCTTGCTAGTGCCAGGAGCTGACATCACCACGAGGTTTGTTTTGCCATGACTGAGCTGAGCTGAGACAGACCCCAGATCCTCTCTTACCTCCCTTAGAAACAGGTCCCCCACCTGCACCTGCCTAAGTCTCCCAACCTCCTCAGCTCAAACTCTCCTCTCAGGCAGCTCATATGCAACAATCTGACGTTCCAGGCTGTTATCTGGGACAGCAACACCTGCACATCACTGCAAAGGGCCTAACCGGGTATATAACAGCCCACACCACAGCACTGACCTCAGCTCCTGCAGACCACATTTCCCCAGATGTAGAAACCCAAACTTCCTCTTAACTCTCTCTCATCCAGAGCCTTCTCTTAGTCCTTGCTCAGAGTTTCCTGGATCTCAACAGAGTCACAGCTCCTCCTTGTGGTCCCAGGTTCAAAAGCACTAGGACTCCATCTTTTCGGTTGAACAAGGGCAGCATGGTGGCAGATGTCTTAGAAACAGGGACCACCTGGGAGGGAAGAGGGTGATAATAAGTCCCTGCCCTTCTCACACCAGACCTATTTCTCAACAGGTCCCCTTCTGAAGAACCTGGTGCCCTTGTGTGAGTAAGGCATGCATGAGGTGCCCCAAGGTCAGGGTTCCAAACATCAGGAAGGAAAAGGCTCCTGAAGGACTGTTGGAATCGTGATTTCATTGTCTTTGAGGACTCTCAGCCTTAGAAGAAACTTCCAGAGGAGAAGAGAAACAGCCTTCACCCCAGGAAAACAATGTTCTGATCAGGACTTTCTGTGTCCCTTAGCCTGTGAGGTGGACAAGCATGCAGTGAGATCCATACCAAGAGATAAGGTTCAGGTGCCAGAGGCACTGCCAAGGGACTTCAGCACCTGGCATTAATAAACCCAGGGATGGGGACTAAGTTATATGACTATTGAATAGTTTCTCAGTATTAATGATTTTGAGAGAAAATTTTAGACTCACTGATTCGGCAAAGAATGACACTTTTTAGAGGCATCTGGCACAGTCATTTCTTCCACTAAGATTGCTGAAGGTATCAATCAGCTGCAATCTGTACAAATACAGATTTAGGGAAATAATCTATAGACCTGTTGCACCACTTCCACTAGTCTATCAAGCCATAGAAGCTATCCATCATCTCCTTTCACCACTAGTTCCAGATTTCCCTCAATCTTTCTCAGCATTTCAATGATCTATGTTATTTATTTGGTGGGGGTGACCCTACCTTCACCCCTTAAGGTTTTGAGTTCTTATGTGCATTTACTTTGTCATGCTATGATTGCCCAAATTGGAAAATTATCACCATCACCAGGAATTGAAGCACCAAGAGATACATGTGTTAATTACTGAATTCCAGAGAAAAAGTTCCTTATTCCCATAATGGAGCAGCAAATGTATGACCTCATGATAATAAAAATTAAATACTTCCACTCTTACCTGCTCGTTTTCAAATAAGAGGAGACCAAAGACCATAGTCATAGTTCAGGTTCAGAGGAATCCTTATTATGTCCTGTGGTAGAAGAACCCATTCCTTTCTCCCCTCTTCCCTCACAAATAAGGATCTCTTATCTGTCAGACTCCCCCCAAACAAAACAAAACATGGTGAAAGAAGATACAGATGTGCAACTGCAACTGGGTCACCAGAGTGATATGCACAGGGTGATGATCCTACTTCCACTCTTGGCTTCTGGATTCATGAGTTGGGCATAAAACACCAGATCCCAGCCATAGAGTCAATGTATTTGCTGTGCAGGGGAATAGCACCCCAGCCCATGATGCTGTCTCTGAGCCGTAGATAAACCTTCGATAAATCACCTTATCATTTTTTGAAGCCAGATGTTTCTGTGTTAGAGAAGGAAAAATAAATAAATTCCATGGTCATGAATCCATTATTTCATTTCAAATGGTGATGGAGGTGACAGGAGTGTAAGTGAATCAATGAATTCAGGTGTTTATGACTGATATGATCTGTTCACGCTTGTTTGTTTCATGCATTCCTTGAGCTCATTCTGGTTTATCATGAGTAAATCCTTTCTTTTCCTTTTGAAGTCTTCCTTCCACCTTCTCTGATCCAGTTTTTCAAGATCGCTGGATATTACTTGAAATGCAGGAAGTTAATCTGGCTGTCCCAATGTCAAGACGAAAGTGACAAATTCTCTTCTGCCTGTGCCTATAGATTCCACTTGACCTTGCTCTGGAATATGTTCTTGTGAGGCCCAGCTTTACACTAGTGATTCCCTTGCTGGTGCAGACCTCTGTTAACCTTGAAGCGATTTCCTAATATTGAACCTCATAGTTACTTATTCTCATGTGAGCTAAAATCATTGCACCAAATGCAGATTGACGGGGTCATCAAGTACTTCTGATCTTGACTACATTCTGGCCAAGGCTCACCTGTATTTAGGTCCTGCACTGATCTTCGTGTTCATCTGAAGATTTCCACTGTCCCTCTATGCTACCAAGTAAATACCTGAGTCCCTACTCAGTAACCATTTCTTCATTTTATGGGTTAAAATATTTTCCCTAAAAACTAAATCAAGGAAACAAGAATCCAACAAAACAGAATAAAGAGAAGACATATTTCATTTGGTCACTTCCGGAGCAACTAATGTTTACAGCCCAGAGTCACACTTTGGAGCATCTTTGGAAGAAAATCTGTACACCCCATGGCTTTTAGACATTCCTGCCAGACATATCTAACTTGGTAATTTAATTTCAGATATTCATCTATTTGGGGACAGCTGCAACAATAGACACAACCAGACTTCCTCCTCTTGGGCTGGTAGCTGAGAGAGAGGGAGACACATGAGTGTTTGTGCACGGGCTGGAGGTGTGTTTGCAAGGCTGTGGTTAAACTGCTCGCACAGAGGTACATGGCTGAGTCTTCCAGCTTTGTGAGATGGATCTTCAAGGTGAAGTAGGATTTATCAGGCTTTTCAACTGAGAATCGATCCTTCAATATTTCAGACTTCTCCAAGGTTTTACCATTATAGAAGGAAACCAGAAACTCCAGCCTCTGCTCCAAGATTTGTTGGTACCAATAGAAGAATGAATGACCAAAAATGGGGTCACAACTCAGGATCACCATCTGTCCCATCTTTGTGACTTGGTGGCTTGGGATCTGTATGACTTCAGATTCCATATGTACTGTGGGAAGAGAAAAAACATTAAGAGAATGGTTTAGGACCGTCTTGGGGAAGTCTGAGGTGACAATTTTCTAGTCTTATGACTCCACCTGCTTTCAGGAGATTAAAAATTGTCCAACAAAAGAGCCAGGTATCCATAGTAGGGTCACAGCAGGAAGATCCTCTCTTAGCCCAGGTCATCAGAAACCGAAGAGGAGCAGGCTGAAGCCCCATGATTCCACAGAGGAGGTCTGGCAGGGATTTTAAAGTGTCTCTGGTTCCACACCTATCACTCCTGCAGTGCCCTCTATAGGACAGAGAACCCTCCTGCAGGTGATCCACATCAGCCATGCCAGGGAGAGGGACTCTGTTCTCAGGGTGGGTGCAGGGCAGAGGGTATTACTGTGAAGAATGTGGAGCTCAGCTAAAATTACCCCAACTGTAAAGTCTAGTGTGGAGATGTCAAGAAATTTTCCTGTCATAGAGCAGGGTGTAAAGGTGCAGGTGCAAACCTATAATCCCAGCTATTTTAGAGACTGAGGCAGGTGACTTAATGACCTGCCTCAGTCTCTCTGACCTGGTGACTTAATGAGACACTGCCTCAGAATAAAAAAGCCTGGGGATGTAGCTCAGTAGTAGAGCACCTGTCTAGCTGTAAAGAAGCCCTGGGTTCAATTCCCAGCATCACACACAAGACGAGGGGGGAGTCTTCCCTTTGTCATTATCTGTTGTGAGCAATATTATCCAGGGCACCAGACTCTAGTAAAAGAACACTGTAATTTAGTACTAGGATTAAAAGACAGAGGGAAAAGAATCAAGAGTGAAAGTGCTAAAGTCCCAGTGAAAGAGGGAAGACAACCCTGAACCTGAATGTTCTGCAAGGGAGAGAACTAGAGACCTGTGAAGGATGCAAACAGACTGGGAAATTATTGTCTTTGGTGACAGGAACTGACAGAGCCACTTGGGGAAGATATGGGATATTATGGAAAAAAATCAGTGCACCTGTAATCCCAGCAACACAGGAGACTGAGAAGGAAGATTGTGAGTTCAAGGCCAGACTCAGCAACTTAGTGATTCTGTCTCAAAAAAAAAATAAATAAAAATAAAAGGCCTTGGAAATTAGCACAGTGGTAAAATGCCTTGGGTTGAATTCTCAGTATCGAAAGAAAGAAAGAAAGAAAAAGAAAGAAAGAAAGAAAGTCCAACTGTATTTGGAGTTAGGATGAGGACCAAAATAGAAGTTTTGAAGAAAAAAATGATGCATATTAGAATGAAGATTGGTGGACTGGGCTCTAGCTCAGTGGTAGAGCGCTTGCCTAGCACACTTGAGGCACTGGGTTCAATCTTCAGCACCACATACATATCAATCAATAAAATAAAATTATATATAAAAAGGGAAGATTGGTGCAGCATGTGTTAAGTGACTGACAAGATTTTTCCAGTTTTTGGGGTGTGACACAAGTCAACTCGGAGATACTTGAAGCAACTTAAACTTGAGTCTTTGTCCTGCAATGCAAGCCGTGTTATTCAAGTCGAAGCCAGACCACAGACTGTTGAGGTCTGGATGTGAATATAGCATTGCCATATCCAGTGAATTGGCACCTATCATCCCTGCAGTGCCCTCTACAGGACAGAGAACCCTCATGCAGGTGATCCACATGAGGTCTGAGGTTTCTGAGACCTGTGGATACCCAAGTAGTCTCAGGGCTCAGGTGGACACAATGTCCCCACAACCTCCTGACTAGGCCCAGGAGTTTTGTGCATGGGGAGACAGTCACTCTGCAGGGCTGTCTCAGCTGCTGGCACAGAGGTACACAACTGAATCCTTTATCTCCAGGTCATCCATTGTGAAGGAATAAGTGAGGACTGGCTGGATTGTCACATGTGAATGACCTGGAACAGGCTCATTTTGAAGGAGTTCTTTATAGGTGTAGGAAAACACGAGTTCTGGAGCCTTCTTAGCATTCTCTCTATAGCAGAGGAATGTGTCCCTGACATTGTTCACATTTCAGGGTCCTTTAATTCTCCATCATTGTCATCAGATGTTTTGGTATCTGGGTAATTCCAGGGTTCACAGGACTTATAGGAATAAGAAACCAAATTTCGGCTAAGCCAGAGACCATTATATGAAAAAGTTCCCTGAATAAGCTACAAGAGCTAAGACAGTAATGCCCCACTGTGTCCAGAACTCACCTGCTCCCAGGACCACACAGCAGAGGAGCCTGGAGTCCATTGTAACATCACAGGATGGGGCCTGGGTCTCCCCTCAGGGTCCCCACCCTGCAGGAGGGTTTGCTTGGAAGTCACTACTCCTGTGAGTTGCTACAGCTCACACTGCTTTGCCCTTCATGCTTGGTAGGACTGCGCATGCCTAGGAAGGGCCCAAGAGACCACTCCCAGGTGCTTCCAGAGGTTGCTGAGGAAGTTGCTGTAGCCACTGCCCACCCCACAGGGTGGAACTAGGCATCTCTGTCTTCTTCCTGCTTCATGCACAGATTCCCTCCCTTTGGATAGGTGCCCTTCACTGCTTTCCACAGACCCAGGAAAAGCCCCCTGGAGCTTGTGCTCCCTCGTCCTGATTAATCCAAAGACACTGCCTTGCCAGGTTTATGGATCCTGCCCTAGAGCCAGCTGTGCCTCCTTTTAACACAGTAATTCAATGCTCATTAACCAGGTAGCCCTCCTCAGTGCATGCTGAGGGGATCCCAGAGGAAGAAGCTGCAGCCCCGCCCCCAGGGAGCATCTCCCCACACTAGACATGGAGCTTATTCCTACAGCCCAAGAACAACAAAAGGGCCAAAGGCACTGAGCTAAAGGGACTGCGGAGACAATGCCATGCAGGCTGGTGAAGTCCAGTGCAGGAGGGACATTAATGTCCCTCCCGCTCCCGCTCTCTCCCAACCAGAACAAGGAGCAAACCCTGATGCCAGAGTCCTGCTTCCTCCCTACCCTCCCTTCTCCCCAGGCTCTCTCCCACCCACCTCAGGAGTTTCAGCGAGGGCACAGTGTCACCTAGAGGTCACAGAGCACATTGCCCTCATCTCCATGTAACTCTAGGCCTCTGATAGCGCCCATGAGGAGCACAGAGGTATGGACAAAGGGGTGGGGCAGGGACATTTAAGGCAGGGGAATCCATAGTCCAAGGAGGCATTTAGCAACTCTAAGTATATCACCTACTGGTAAAGCAGCAGGGACCATCACCATGTGAACATTGGATGATCTTTTTAAAAACTTATTCAGTAAGTATTTGTTGAGCATGTGCTGTATGTCAGGCATTGCTCCAGGACCAGGAAGAGACATGAGTAAAACAGACTCTCATAGGTATAGAGGCTATATTAACTTGTTCAACAGGCATCTGTGAATAATGTGAATAATATCCTCAAAATATTTATAGACTTGGAGGAGTAGTGAGACATATTTTCAGATAATGTCCAATCTGTAAGGTTATAAAATGCATGCTATGGAAGGCTTAAATATAATTGGCTTTTAAGTGCCTGAATCATTTCATCTACTCACATTCTCATTTCCTCATTCATGAAACCTAGATATGGGAAAAGGCTGAAATAATTATCTGTCACCATCTGACCAATTCTAAAGCATTGTGAGTTAATCTGGATAAACTTCTCTCCAGATGTCCACTAGTCTGCTGTTCCACAGGGTTCAGGATTCCCCCAATCCATCACAATACTCCATATGGTATACGCACTTAATATGTGCTTATTTAATGAATGAAGGAACGGCTGTGTGGGATAGGACATAGTAAAATACCACCTGTAAAATGTAAGTTTGACCATTAAAAATTGTGTTTCTAATGAGCTTTGTTGGCATTGGCTTATTTGTATTGGTGGCTTTGCAAAAATCAAGAGCATGGTCTCAGGATTTAAGGCTGGAATGTAACTAATGAAAGTTAATGTGTCTGGCATGAGCTCAACTTGTTGTGTTAATTTTCATTTAAATGGGAGTTTAAATAACCTTTCAACAGTTTGATAACTTTTCAAAGTGTGTCAGGCATTGTGCAGAGGAGGTATAGGAGGAAAGGAATCACCTCCCTTCTTAGATCCTCTTCCCTTGCTTTAAGGCACATTAAGATATTCTAGGTGTATTAAGAATTGTAATGCAAAAAAAAAAGACTACATGTATAATGGCATAAACTAGCACGAACATACTTTAAATACAGAGATACAAAAAATTGTGCTCTATATGTATAATAAGGATTGTAATGCATTCCACTGTTGTCGTGTATTTAAAAATAAAGAAATTAATTTAAAAAAAAAAAAGATATTCTAGGCTTTCAGTGCTTGTATCTGGTCTTCTTCCAAAAACATCTGGTTCCTTTTAGTGGAAAAGGGTATTCAGAAAAACAGGAGATGGATACTAGATCTGTGATTCTGGGGTAACACCACTCCCAGGTTATCACTGTGGACAGAGCTATGGAATATGCACTTGTACATGCACATACAAATGTACACACACATGTGGTGTGTGTGTCTCTAATCCCATATCCATCCATATTGAGAAACCAGTTTACACGACAGTTCCAATCCAGTATAATAAGGCTTATTCTAGCATTCTCCCTTTCCATGTTTGCAACTCCCTCATGTAATGCCAAGAAGCTTGGCTTCTGCTGTCCTTAATAGGCTTACCTATTTGATTACTCTCCTCACATGTAAATAATCATCTGTAGTACTTTCCACCCTCCTCACTCTGCTGAATTTCTAACTCCCTGTGCTGGAGAGAGCACCTCAATACAGTTTCCGACACTTCACACAGGGCATGCCTTTCCCACATGGATGACCTTCTCAATCTTCTGAGGCTTCTACAGCCTGCACAAGGCTGCTTTCATACCCCACTTGGATTCCAACACCCTACTCCATCTGGATTGTCTCCTCAGTTGGCTTGGTGTCTATCACCTTCCACTGGGCCGGGGCCTCCTTTCTACATATAAACAAAGAACTACATTTGTTTAGTCCTCTGACCACAAAGGTATTTCCCTTCACAGTATGCTTGTTGCATAATTTGAGGCACCCGGGATGGTGATGGGAAGGGAAGGACTCAAGATCTGTCTGCCCCCACATGCACGAGACCCATCTTCCCAGTGTTTAGAGTGTCAGCTGTGACCATTGGACATACATCTAACTCACTTGGGCTCTCTGAGACCTTTGTATCTCTCAATTCTTTTTTCAACCTGTTTTCCAGGAAACAATGTCAGGTTCTTTGTTCTAGAAGCCCTAGATTTTCTC